TTCTAGAGAAAAATATTCACAATTAAATTTTTCTAGTGATATTAAACCACTGAATATTTGTTAACAATTTTTTTTCTATTTCATACCTTCATATTTACAATTATTTTCTTGTAATATCGATTCTCTATGGAGTTTTAAAATAGTAAAAAAAATCGTGAAAACATATTCAGTAGCTCAATAAAAAAATGTCATTGTATACAGTTTTATACGCCACTAACTCTATTTGATTGGTCATTGTATACTTACATTCCATGACAATTTTCATAAAAATTTGTTAAGCAATTTTAAAGTAAGAACAAAAAATCACAGAAACTGTTGTAATCTACCAAAACTTCTAAGCAACTTCTAGAGGGGAATAGCTTAAAATTATATTTTATGTATAAAAAAAATAACTTTATCAACAAAATATTGTCTACTGTAACAAAAGTTTCGGTTGTTCCGTTGTCAACCTTCGGGTCTTCGACGTCGCTCAGACGGAAGCTAAGGGGTAGATAGCTCTTAAAAATTAAGGAAATAGTAGACAAATGAAAAGCGCCAACTGGATCTATATAGTGGCCAAACTATGTTCATATTTCCCCACAAATCCAGTAAATGAGAAAATAAATAAAAGACAAACCTCAACTTACGTTGCTTTATAAAAAATTACCAATTATCCCAATTATTATTAACAATTTTACAAAATTACATTTAGGAAACAAATCTGTTTGCCAAGAAAAAAAAAACAAAAGCAAAAGTTAAAGTTCAAAAACTAACTCTAAACAAAAGGACGTACAATATTTAAATTGTTCAATACACTTGTAGATAATTTACCCTAGAGCTTTTGATAAATTTATAAATAAACTAACGGAGCTAAATATAGTAAAAAATTAAAATAATGTATATGTCATGTATGTAATATGCATGAACCCGAAAGAAAAATTCATAATCAGATGATACGGTCGGTCGTTTGTTTGATACCAGGCGAAGAACGTTTGTGCAAGATGGTATGGAAATATAGTGAAATCTTAATTTCGACCTTTTACAATGAAGAAATCAAAAATATAAAATATGTGCATATCCGCACCTAAATCTAAACAACTACGTTTAATGTTGAAACCCAATTAACCTTTAACATCCTTCAAATTAAAAGAAGTTACCTGTTTAACTTATAGTCAAGACCTAACTATTTATAAGAAAAATATTAAACCATTAAATTATATAATTAAATATAATTCATAAAACAAAATAAAAAAAGAAAAAATAATAAACACATATAAGGACTTAAGACACAGAGGTTATTTACTGAAACTCCCAGATTGGAACAGGTTAATTATTTAATCACATTTTCTTATGAGATTGCTTCACTTTCAGTTAATACTTATGTTTTTAATAAGGAAGAAATCTAAAATTAAAATGGTGAACGTAGCCCTTATGTCCCAAGGTCTTTATGGTCAATACCCAGGCCGAGACACTAAGTGCTTAAATAACAAAATTTTGAAATAGTGCTTAGTTAATTAAATGGTGAAATATTTGGTAACACCTTAGTTATTAAAGTAAAACCCACAAGAACATTCTGTGCACAAAAGTATAAATAATGTTAATAATACCTTAACAACATTCGTTTAGAAAGCTAATGTTTCATTAAATAAATTGGCAGGCATTGTGCACATATGAAATCTTAATTATAATAAAGAAACCTAAAAGTAATGTGTCTTCGTTGACAGCAACACTGCCTTCCAATCCAGATAAAGAAGCATTCATGTAAAACCAGCTCTTAATAAACCAAGTGGTTAGTAAACCAATGTTCTGATCAACCGATGTACTGTGTCCCCATGGTTGAACTAAAATGCCTTCGGATTAAAACCGTTGATATCCAGAGTGGAAACCCTCCGGGTAAACCCTTAAAATATTACAAAATGTGTCAATATTAATTGACTTAAGTTTCTCAAACTATATAATTAATTACCCCAAATGTACATAAGCTAGAAAATATTAAGTATCTAGGTTGAATAAAAACTTACATTGGCTCAACAAGAGTCATAAACAGTATTAGGAACTCAAATAATTAAAATTCTGGTACACCAAGCCATTACATAAAAGAAATCGACAATCAAAAGGTGCATAACATTACCAAATATATACGAAACATACCTTTTACGTAAAGGATTAGACTGGTAGCCTTTCAAGTGTAAAGAAAAACTTCAATATTACACACTCAAATGCCGATGTATCACCAATTTTTATCTTTATACATCCCTTTAACAGATGTGGAATAGGTCAAAAACCGTGAGAATTCAAGTAAAAATGAAAATTCCCAAAAAATATCATAAACTCGTTTTTCCACAATCAATACTGGAGTAAAATCTAAAAACCCCTTTAATAGGATAGCTCGATGGTTATATAAAATAGAGATTTCACTTCTTGACAAAACTTGGAGTTTTCTGCTTTCTTTACCTGTCAACCAGCACCTAACTTACAAAAATGACAAGCCGAGTGGGTTCAGAAAGTCATCATTAAGAATTTACAACTAATCTTAGATATACAGGGTGTTCCAAAATTAGGCCACCATATATTAACAGCGTAATCTACATCATAAAATAGAAGTAAACGTTTATGAAAACATAGGTCCGAGAACGTTTCTTTTCCGAGATACAGGGTGTTAAAACTGAAGTTCTGATGACACACTTTTGTAAATATTTTCTAAATGTTTTAAGATAACTAAGTAAAATTTGGTACAAATACTTATCTTTCTATGCTCTATTTAATGGACAAAACCCCAGTTTTTGATCATCTTCATAGGTGGGTAAATTAGGAGGGAACTTAGGGTAAAATGGCCCTTAGTTTTTTTGTTGACAGTTTTTAACATTTTTGACTATAAAATTTGGAAACCCAATGTTTTATTTATAATAAAGCCACTTTTGTTGCATCTCGCTAGGATGCACGATTTTTAAGAGAAAAGCATTTGAAAATTTTATGATAAATTTATGTTACCTTATTCGAAAGTGTATACAATAATTAGGCCTGTGGAATCAGAAATTTTATTTTTTTTTACTTTGGAAAACCGGTGACTAAAGAAATTGTAAAAAATATTTACAAAAATGTGCCATCAGACATTCACTTATAACACCCTGTATCTCTAAAACGAATCGATGAACTTTTACTCCTATTTTAGGATGTAGATTACGTTGTTAAAATATAACCGTCTAATTTCGGGACACCCTGTATATTTAAGAGACTATTTACGAAAGATTACCATACAAACTATATCTGTATACAATATAACTAGATTTGAAAATTGCTACTTACAAAACTCGATACCAAACCGATCGCGAAAAATCTCTCAAGCTCGTACCGCATATCTCATATCTACAAATAAAACGAACACACCTCGTACAGCTTTCATTACCTGGAACTCAGAACCAGACTGAATTACATTAGATGTCGCGACACTGACGACTATGGTGCTCCGTCTACTTGACATTTAACGTCAAATATAACTGACCCAACAAAATATGAACAATAACATTGACTAAAAATAATTACTTTGCACGAAAAGTAAACAAATTCGTTAATAATTAATTACCTAGAGGTAAGGTTATAATACATAATATATAAGTAAATTGGCAACGAGACTGTCTGTTTTTAGGAGAATCTAACACATTGAAACAAACCAGTTGGGTAAAAACTACAATAAAACGTACAATTTCAGGTACTAGGAACAAAATATCCTGTTCAGTGATGAGATGAATTAAATTATAATAATGACATCTGCAGGTAAACCATACATACAGCTAGCTAGTTAAGAACAAAAATAATGGCTTTAAAAGCTTATTAAAAATAAATAACGTTTTACCTTTTTTTCGTATATTTAAATAAGGTAAGTCGAATTTTTCCTTAGTTATTTGAGCGTATAAAAATGCTCGTTAAACTGTGGTTAATCTTACTGTACATCGTTTTGTTACATAATAAAGAAATAATAAAGAAAAGAATATGAAAGTTCATAAAGTAACCGCCTAGCAGTACATGGATAACTATTTATTTTTAATTTACGCGAACACAAGAGTCTAATATGACTCGTGAAATCAGCAAAAATAAAGAAAAAAAAAAATAAAGCTATACATACAGTTTATTTTTATATTATGAAAGGTACTTAACAAAATATCCAAATAGTCATAAATAAACAATTCAGTGTGCTTACCTGAAAAGTTGTTTATTATTCCACGACTGGACAAGTTCTACGATTTCCTTTGCCATCTTTTTCCCACTAAGCACTATTAAACATTTTAAATTTCCCAATCGCGTTAAAACCTAAAACCGTAACAACGAACAGCGTATTCGCCAGGAATCACGTCGTTGTACTGAGTTTTTTAGGACGGTATATATATCGTTTACCCTGCGGAATTCACGGAACATCCACCTTTTTAGGCGGCTAGTCAATTACAAGTCCGGACTAGATTCAAGTCAAGAATATTTAGTTTGGTTATCTTGAATTAAATAATTTGGCATTTTTTGTCTTCGTTGAAGTATGATGAAAATAAATTGATTTAATTTAAAAATTAATACTTATTAGAATGTGAAACCTTTAGTTGTTATTCTTTATTTAAACATTGTCGTGTTTTAAATTACCATTAATTTGCTTTGTTCAAAAATACATTTTAAGAATAACTATGTTTACACCAAAATCAGTGTCAATTTTTCAAGTAAGAATAATATCTTTAAGAAATTATGTATGATTTAAAGAAAATATCTTACAAAAAAAAATGTATTTCCTTGTAAGAATTTCATTTTTTCTGTGCAGCGCTGTCGTGGAAAGCTGGAAATTCTTATAGACATAAAAAAGTAAAAACAAAGTAAGTAAGAACAATCCAAAAATCTTTTCAATAGAACATTTTCTGTATAATAACAGTTACTAGCCTGTTCAAAAAAATCAATTTTGGCATCAAAAAAAAAAAAAAATTCGACTAGGTGTAGAATGTCAATATTTTTGAGAATAAAAGAAATAATATTCTAAATCAACTTACCGGTAAAAAAATACATAGTGTCAGTGCTAAAATATTTAAACTATTCATTTTTAGATTTTTCACAACAAAATTCTAAACTCATGAGATTGGACGAGTATTATAATGTAACTGTTTTGTTTTTATAGAAGAATAGTGTTAACAATTATGTTAAATCTTAAAGTAATTATTGGGTAATCTTAAAATCAACTTAATGCTTCTCGTAAGATAAAGTAAAACAAATAAATGGAATTAAGTGAAAATTACAGAACCTATGTTATAAAGATTTCTAGTATTCCAGATATTTTTTGACAAACACATAGTACTGTTGGTACGCAGTTTAATAAAAATGACGAATATTTCGTACCTGGGACAACATTGATGATAAATGAAAATATTATGATCACAAATTATTTATTTTTTACTTCAATTATACAAGGTATTTAAATGCTACCCTAGATCTTATTTGTGATTTTATATACGTTTATTCTATATATTGCCTGCGTTAATATAACAATTCTTCTAAAGGAATCTGGAGATCTTTGAAGATTGTACTTTTATTATTTTTAAATATCTGAAAAATAGCCGTTACATTTTGCTACCCCTTTTTATTCCCTTGACTTAAAGGGGTGATAGTTTATATCGACTAGCTCAGTTTTGTTATTTTCCGGAGATTGGGTCGTGAAAATGAATATCAGGTAAAATTATTTAACAATATTTTCTGTAACGTTTACTTGAATGACTTGTTTTACTTTAGTTGCTGGAACAATGTGAAATTAACTGATTTAAGAGTGGATAAACATTCAACAATAGCCACAATAATACCAACAAAATGGTTTACTATTACAAGGGTCTTTACACGGCAAGAGTAAAGATTCGATTTCAAGTAGTACTACTCGTTTACATATAAGGGGTGAGTTACTTAAAATTATATCACTAATTTGTATGTCGTATACACGATTTAAGTCAAATTTACACAGGTATCTTATAACTTGTTCATATACTAGTACTTTCAGGATGAGTATGTGATTTTCTGGAAGATGCAGCTAATAATATAAGTGGGTGGATCTTACTTGGTGGTTTTCTCCTATCTCCAAAGTGATGCGATGGGAAAATCCTTCGTTTGCGACCCTCACTGTATCAAGAGCTACTAGCAGCCCAAATGGATTCAAGTCCTATGAAAATAGCCAAGCAGGTAGGTGCAAGCAGTACTAGGTAATAGCAATAGAAGCCAAAGCAAATAGTTTTCAAATTATAAAGGAAAATAGTAGCAGTAAAAGAAAAAGAAAAGGACCTAAAAGCAAAAATAAAACTAGCTATAGCTACATGCAAAAGGTAATATCTGGATGACTTACCGAATAAGGTAGGGTCCTATTTTATATCTATAAGTATCGACAAATCCACAAACTGTGTACTAAAATCAACACTTGATTTATCTGGTTCAATACATAATTCGATTATTTGATGGAACTTATCTATTTTAAGTGGTTTAAAATCCGAAATTATTCGTAACAATTTTCAAAGACCACATGGCCCATAAACCAACCTCAAAAAGAAAGAGAAGGAACCAAGAGAGACAGATAGAACCTCAGGACCTAAGAAGATAAATGTCCTTGATTTGGGATGGCTAAACTGCCAATACTAATCCCAATTACCCTAATTACCCAAAATTAAACAAAACAAAATCAAAGAATAGAAGAAGAAGAACTACCTCAAGGTCATGGTCAAGAGTTGACAGCATATAAATAAACAATATCAATACTATGTATATAGGTTACTTTTAATAAATGGAAATAAGGACAATTAATTTTGTGTATTATTCACGAATTTGGGTGAGTTTTTATTTATTACTCCAAAGGAGTGGAAAAGTAGGTATGATTTTAATATTTTGTTTAAAAAAGAATATTCACTATCATGAAATTAAAATTGACCCGTAACAATTTATAAAAACTTCAAATTGAATCACCCATTACACGGAGGTATGAACCACCGTAAGTTTTTACCATATTCTTCAAGTTACTGTCACTTAAGGGAAATATATAACAGGGTGATCGTATGCCTATTATAGAATATACTGCTTTATTCCACCACGGCATCTAAGAAAATGATTACTCATAACTGGAAAAATTTTCGACAGTTTTAGCAACTATGTTTTTGTTTGATAGATAACACAGCCCCACAAAAAAAAGTGTTCAGACTTGCCGGTCGAACACATATGTATTCCCATGTATTTTTCGACGTTGAATCCGATTCCGAGCTCAGAAATGGTCCTCTACGTCTAAAATGGACCTCAGGGGCCAAAAATGGCCTCTATATGGCTTAAAGGTGGAAGAGTCAGGACTAGTCCAAATCGAGTTCCTGAGGGTTTTCGAGGTCGCTGATCACGATTATGATGTTCAAATTGAACCACAGTAGACCTGGAGCTCAAGAACGCCGATAAACGTTATCTACGGGCACTATCCCAAAATGCACGCAGGTAAGGAGAGAAACTCGGCGCTCGGGGTTAATAAATTCAAACTTCGACGAACACCCTCTGGATACCTGGCGCGCTGGAACCAACACGTGGATGTCATTTTTAAGAAATTTCTTGCCAAGATTGCCAAAAACATGCCGAGAAACCTTGTAGGGGTATTTTTTGGGGCCCTTGGTCCAAATTTCACGTCAAAAACGATCCTCGAACACCTAGTGCACCGAAACTCTGAAGGTTCTCCAGACACAATCGCTAAAGACAAACCGAAAATCGTCATGGGGCTTTCTAGGCACGCGGAATCCAAATTCCATCACGATAAAGTACCTCCGGAGACCTGGTGTACCGGAACTCCGGCCTGAACGTTATCTGAAAGGGTTTTTCTCACCCAATCGAGTCTACTGTGTCTTATTAGAGATCCCCGTATACCTCACCTATACTGTATCATTTAAACTACTCTTTATACTTGACAATTAAGTGTAGAGGATTATATGGGTAAAGGATAGACACATTAGAATTGGTGGATGGGGCATTCGGAGTCTTTTAAAAACTGGAGAAAACTATCACAGGAGTAATTCTTGGGTAAATAAAATTGTCCAAAAAAAATCAGTGACGTTTTTGTTCTAAAACAAACAAAAATTTCAAATATTAACGTCATATTACTTCAAATATAGTTTTGAGACTCAAGAGGATATGACGTTAGATTAAATTAAAATAAATTATAATTTTTTTCTTCTCTTACTATTATGTAGTATTATCTTAATTTTTTGTACCAGAGTTATAACAATATCATTTAATATTTAGTCATTTGCATACGTCTCGTCGTAGGTGCTAATTGATCAATCCCACGTAGGTAATTATGAAAATGGTTCACTTAATGTGTCTGAGAAAAAAAGATTTATATCATATTTATAACTAGTTGATCAGGGTGGCCGGATAGAGATTACACCTTGATTCTGTTTCAGTTGCTTGGCAGTGTCCATTAAATAAATTATATGTCTTGAAAATCTACATTAAATTAAGTTATAGAAAGAAAGCTCAATAATTTATATTTTAAACGTTTTTTAATAATGATATTAAAATATAGGTCTAGGTAACGTCAAGTGAATTTTATATAAAAAGAATTTGCATTATAGAGTAAGTGAACAAGTAATTTAAACATCTATTTTTGCATAATGTATAATGGGCTTTGAAAAATGAGTTTAGGTGATATCTTTATAGCCGACAGTAATTTTAAGCTCGGGCAATCAAGCGTTTTCTTACTTGTTTGTTGAATTTTAGAACCTGAAAGTCGTAACGTTTTTCTCATCTGTTCTTTAATTTGGAGTGTTAAGTCCACCATAATTATTATTATTATAAAGGGACGGTCATTTTTTATTTCATAGTCGTCTGCTAGAGATTTTTAATGAAATTAAATATGTTTTATTTTCCCTGTGTAGGAAAATCTGATATATTAATTGCATTCAATTCATTTGTGTAAGCAGAATAATACCCTTATACCCTTAATAAAGTTAAACATGTTGAATATAAAGAAAAAATGCAAAAACCATATACAAGGCGATTACCAAGTAGATAATTATTTTTTAATTGTGTATAGAAATCTTTAAAATAAACAACTTTAAAAAGTAGGTACTTGAAACGGACTAATAGTGTAGTGTAGCTTGAGTTTTATTTTCTTTTTTCCATTGTTTTTCCTCTTTTCTGAAAAATCTATTAAAAAATTTTTTTGAAAAGGTAATTTAAAAGAGATATTTGTAGAAGTTATTTAAAAAGACAATTTGAAAAAGTTAATTAAAAAGGTTATTTGAAAAAGTTATTTAAAAAAGATAGTTGAAAAAGTTATTTGAAAAAGTTATTTGAAAAAGTTATTTGAAAAAGTTATTTGAAAAAGTTATTTGAAAAAGTTATTTGAAAAAGTTATTTGAAAAAGTTATTTGAAAAAGTTATTTGAAAAGGTTATTTGAAAAAGTTATTTGAAAAAGTTATTTGAAAAACTTATTTGAAAAAGTTATTTGAAAAAGTTATTTGAAAAAGTTATTTGAAAAAGTTATTTGAAAAAGTTATTTGAAAAAGTTATTTGAAAAAGTTATTTGAAAAAGTTATTTGAAAAAGTTATTTGAAAAAGTTATTTGAAAAAGTTATTTGAAAAAGTTATTTGAAAAAGTTATTTGAAAAAGTTATTTGAAAAAGTTATTTGAAAAAGTTATTTGAAAAAGTTATTTGAAAAAGTTATTTGAAAAAGTTATTTGAAAAAGTTATTTGAAAAAGTTATTTGAAAAAGTTATTTGAAAAAGTTATTTGAAAAAGTTATTTGAAAAAGTTATTTGAAAAAGTTATTTGAAAAAGTTATTTGAAAAAGTTATTTGAAAAAGTTATTTCAAAAAGTTATTTGAAAAAGTTATTTGAAAAAGTTATTTGAAAAAGTTATTTGAAAAAGTTATTTGAAAAAGTTATTTGAAAAAGTTATTTGAAAAAGTTATTTGAAAAAGTTATTTGAAAAAGTTATTTGAAAAAGTTATTTGAAAAAGTTATTTGAAAAAGTTATTTGAAAAAGTTATTTGAAAAAGTTATTTGAAAAAGTTATTTGAAAAAGTTATTTGAAAAAGTTATTTGAAAAAGTTATTTAAAAAAGTTATTTGAAAAAGTTATTTGAAAAAGTTATTTGAAAAAGTTATTTGAAA